GACAGGACGTGCTGCTGTTTAATCTGCAGCTGAATTAATACCCCTTACAAAAAATTGTATTGAGTAGGCTTGTCCAAATAAACAAGAGAAGCTTGCCGAGGCCTTCAAAGCCATTTTTGTTCCTGACCAAACTGTTTAAACACTGAATTAAACAGCAAGCGTGGGATTTCTCCTCTGGCAAATGTGAAAGGTTGAGTTGGTGGGAAAAAAAAGACTCAAAAAGCGTGGAGGACCTGCCTCATTGCGGCGTTTCAGGCGAAGGAGGTGGAAATCTCAAGGCTAGGCAGCGTGCTGCGCAGACGGTCACACCAGCCTCCGCAGACGCTTGCGTGGTGCTTGGGGCTCGCTGTCCCCGGCCAGCGCGCAGCGGGGAGGGGAGGTTATCCCGAATCCTGGCACGGCGGCTGGCGTGGCGGCGGCGGCGCAGTCCGTCTGCTCTTGGCTGTGGAGGGAGCAGTGCGGGGCAGACCTCCAGCCTTGTCCGGGTGCCTTCAGCCGGCAGCAGCAGTGCCCTCACCAGCGCTGCTGGGAGCCAGGGCTTGGATTTGCCAGCGGGCATGGAGCTGTGCGCTGCGTGGGGCTTGATGCACGGGCGTGGGGAAGGCCCTGCTTGTGGCACTGCTTTGGCCCAGCTTCTGAGAGCTGACTGTGATTTAACTGCGGCGTGCACCTTTCCTGGAGGTGCTCCGTAACACAGGTGTAATCATAAGATGATTCCATCTCTTCCCTGCCTTTGTTCAGCTTTTTTTGCTCATGTTTCTCTTGCTTCTCTTTGCTTGAGAGAAGTGAAACTCGCATTTCCAGAAGCAAGACTTGGCGTGGTCATGAGTTTTCCTTATCAGATGATGCTGTTGAACTCTTTCATCCCAGGGGCCTAGAGAGCTGTTTATAAATAGTGCCGAGTAAACTCGCCAGCCTGCCTGTGATGTGTGTTGGCCTCTTCCCTTCTGGTGATCAGGAGACCAAAGGACTCAGCTCAAGTGGTTTGTGCTTGGTATCACAAGAAGTTCAGGCTGGGAGCAGAGCCAGCACCTCCTGACACCCAGTCCGCTGCTTTAGCCACAGCATCATGACTTGTCTCTGATGTCATTATTATTTATTTTTATTCCCTTACTTTAGATATATTTCAAAGACTGTAAAGTTTCTTTGCCCTCCTTCTCTGGAGTGGCAGCAGCTCTGCTTCTGGAGGAGAAAGGAGAGTGCAGCTGGGATTCAATGGCCATTCAGAGGCGTAACAAAGCCGGATGATTAGTGGAAGTGGTTTTCTAGTAAAAGTAGTACAGGCAGTACAATGTGGTGCGGTGAGCTGTCTGAGAAAGGATTGTCTCGTGCTCTGGGGTGGGTACGGTGGGGCCATGACGTGGGCTGGAGTGTCTGGCTCTGCCATCAAAGCCCTGTGGATGGGCACCGCTGTGGTACCGCAGCCTGCCGTGAGCTGGCCTTGGCTTTCCACCAGAGCACGCAGGAAGGGAGCTGGGCTCTGAGACACGCAAAGACCCCGAGGTCCAGCAGTGAAAGGCACAGCCCGGCCTCCCCGCCAGGCCCCGTGGGCTGAGCCAGCGTGGTCAGTAGGTCCTCGGGCAAAGGTCTGCTGAGCGCTGCCCCGTAGTCCCCCCCTTGCTCAACCTCCGAGCCGCTTGGCAATGTGCTGCTCACCTCCTGCTTTTCCTCCCTGCTTCTCCCTCTCTAGATCCAAGTTGGAAAGTTCAACCACACAATTGCCATGCTGCACCTCGGGGGAGGAGAGACTGCAATCATCGTCTCCATTGTCATCTGCAGCATCTTGCTGGTCCTCTCTGTCGTAGGTAAGGGAACAGAACGATGAGTTTCCAGGCTGTGCCAAGGTTTTCTCTCATTGCGTGTGGAGGGGTGAGGGTCACTCACCCATGTGGTAGGAAACCTCTGAGCGCTGCAGTTGTGCAGTATCTGAAGCTGGTCTGGGTGCAGCCAGTAGCCACTCTTCTTTGTGCAGGACCAAGCCAGTACCCAGGGTCAAAGCTTCCACAGCCTGGAGCATTTGCTGGCTGAATCCATTGTTCAGCTCCGTTACCCGAGCCTGTGGGGTATAAACTCACCCTTTTCCCCCAGACACTCAGTAGCTACTAGAACACAAAATAAAGAAGGGTGTGAGAAACAGGTCTTGGACTTGTACTGACTTGCACGGGGCTCGCTCACATGCATGGCTGTCCCAGACCACCCCGAAGGACCACCTCGCCTGAGGTCCTGTCATCAGCAACAGCCAGTGACAGGCGCCTGGCAGAAAGAGTGAAGAACAGAGCAAGGGTCCTTAGCTGCAGATCTGGAGCGGACACAAGGGTTTGCTAACCTCACTGGAAGCGGTGCAACACACCTGTGTCCTCTGGCTAGCGTATCTTCTCATTGTCGCATGCCCAGAATGACAGTGCAGCAGGAAACCTGTCAGTTCACAGCAAATGAAGTGTATCTAATAGGGATTTAATTTGTTTTTAATAAAGGTTATAATGCACACTATTAAATGCACCACCCGTCATTAGAAACATATTTCTGGAGGCATGGGAAGACTGTCAGACAAGAACACTGTAATACAGGTGATAAACATCTTAAAATCTGTATTCGTCAGTCAGCTGGAATATATTAATATACAGTTCAGCTGAATATACACAGCTTAGACCTAAATTGAAGATGACCGTTACAGCACGATCGTTGAATTCCAGCTGGTTTTACTTATTTACAGGTAATCGACAACTGCCTGATCAGATACCAGTATTGTAGGTGCTAAAACAACACTGAGTTTAGCTTTCTGCACCCGTGTCAGCAGAGGACCGCTCTGATCCCAGCTGCAGCTGCTCCTAAGCCCTTGTCCAAAAGGCTTGTTCCCTTCCTCTTTTCCAGCTCTCTTTGTGTTTTGCACAAAGAGCCGCAGAGCGGAGCGCTACTGGCAGAAAACCCTGCTCCAGATGGAGGAGATGGAGTCGCAGATCCGGGAGGAAATCCGCAAAGGTAAGCCACCATGCTGGGCACCGAGGGGGAGCCAGGACTGGGAGGGACGTGCCGGAATAGCAGGGTTGAAGCTGTGCACCTTCTACTCTGTAGAAGTTTATAGAATGACTGATAGGAGAATTTCTGTCGATCTTCGGCAGGGTTTGTGGATGAGGCTCAGCGTGGCTCTGCCGCCGTCTTGCTGCCTGGCTTGGGCAAGCCGCTGGCCTTCAGTGCCGCTGGTTTCCCAGTCCTGGGGTTCATGGCTCTTGGCCATGTCAGAGGGTTGCGTGAAGGCCACACTAATCTTTAGCGTGCTTTGCAACAAAAATCGCACGCACTCCTGCTAGAGCAATGGGAGCAGCAATCCAAGCATCTGCATCTGCTGTCCCGGCAGTAGATGGCTGCAGCGTGGGTGAGGTCCTCCCGCTGCGGAGCCGGGCTGGGTGCTGCTCTCCTGGAGGCAGGGGAACCGTTCCCTCTGCCAGTGCTGCGGGGTGTGAGGTACAGTGCTGGTGGTTAAACCCTGAGAGTAATCTGCTGCTCCTCAAAAAAAACCCAGCTTCAGCGCACTCGAGGAAGAGGCTGGAGGAGGCAGAGATGAGACATGCCACATTTTTCAGCGTCAGCCTGCTTACTGTCTCAGCTGGTGGAGTATCAGAGCTCTTACCATCTGCGGGTCTCTTTGTGTAAGGTTTTGCAGAGCTGCAGACAGACATGACAGACCTGACCAAGGAGTTAAACCGCAGCCAGGGGATCCCGTTCCTGGAGTACAAGCACTTTGTCACCCGGACGTTCTTCCCCAAAGTAAGGCGACACTGCGTTTCATGGGCACCTAAACGCTCCCAGGTCCTTCCTAACCAGATCAGGGCTCTGCTTTCCCTCTGCTAAAGGGATATTACAGAGAGACAAAATCATTCCACTGTTATAGATTTAGTTGTCACGTATTTCAGCCTCAATTATCGTCAGAAGCGGAGCTGCAGCTCCTGGGGTGTGAGGTAAGGTCGGGCGTGCTTGCACGCAGTAGAGCCCGGCAGTGGCACCGTCCCGGGACGTGCTCTGCCTTGCCCGTCGGATGCTGTTGGACACCCTCTTCTGAAAGCATGAGAAGAAGGTGCTGGGGACTCCCTCTCTCCCCGGGGCTCCAGTGCCACCCTCTCTGTTCGGCAGAGGCTGAAGGGTGGCTGAAGGGCATACCTCCCACCAGCGGTCAGCGAGAGGGGGCTTCTGGTTCCACGCAGTGTGCCCCCGAGTGTTCCCGAGAGCTCATCAGATGTCTCCGACTCCCACTTCTCTGCTCCCCATCAAGGCCCAGCGTGTGGTGCTCCCAGTGGGACTCCCCGTGGGCGCCCAGTCCCCATCTGTCCTGCCCGGAGTCCTCCTCCCGGGCCGCAGCAGACGCGCCGGTGCCATGAATCCCATCACTGGCTGCTGCGCCGTGTCGCGGCGCGCCCTTAACAGCGGCTGTATTTCACCCCCGAGGCACTTGCATTTCAGTGGTGAGGAGTGAGATGATGATTTATGACTGCAGAGTGTTTCATTAGTAGTTATTACTCAGGTTTTTAAGTTATCCAATCTCTATATATCTGAACACTGGAGTCTTTAAGATTCAGGCTGCTATATGAATGTTAGAGATGTCAACATTTCTCCCATCTGTTTCAAAAGTTACATATGTTAAAACACCCAGTACTCCTCTATTTTGACTTAGTCTTCTATAATGCCATCTCTTCTGGGATTTTTCTAGCTGTCAAATTAGTCTATTTGCAGTCTCCCTACCCTCGCAGCGTCGAAAAAAACGTGTCTGCGCAGACGTCTGCCTCCCCCCATCCTTGTGGTGTTTGCTCATTCAAGAGGCTCTCACAAAGTGTTTAAAGGCTTCATAAACCGTACCAACACATTTCTTCATAATGGGTGGTCTTCAGTCCCGATGACATGTCTCTCCGTCTTGTTCTCTTGCGGTGCACGGCAAACGAGGAGGTCCCTGGCCAGGTGCAGCCGCCCTCCCCTAACGCTGTGCTTGGTTGCAGTGTTCCTCGCTCTACGAGGAGTGCTACATCCTGCCGTCCCAGCAGCTCAGCTCCCAGGTGGGCTCCCAGGTCCAGGAAACCCATCCGCTCCTGGTGGGGGAATGGAAAGTGAGTAACCCACTAGCTAAACAAATGCTCTTGAGTGGCTGCTAACCATACTCGTGTGTTGACAACACCATGTGTTTTCTTGTGGTGTGTGGGGGATGCTTGATCACTCAAAACAATTAACACATACCAGCATCAGATCAGCTCTGGCTGGCTGTAGAAAGCAGATCTGTGGATCTACTGTCCCACAGAGGAGCTCTGTCCTGAGATCCTCCCCGGCCCCACTGTGGGCTTTTCTTGCTGAGTGTATCGTATTGTATGTCACTTCAGTCCCATATGCAGTTCATCATAAATGAGATTCCTCCCAAGCAGGGACTTGGTAAAAGCTGTTGTTGTCCCAGGGCTGGATTTCATGTGGACAATAAGTAGGAACTGAAGAATCAGAGAGTCTCTTAGGTTGGAAGGGAGATCTGCTTAAAGCAGCTCCACTTAGATGAGGTTGCCGAGGGCCTGGTCCAGCTGTGTCAAATGCCTTCAAGGATGGAAATCCCACAGCCTCTCAGGGCCCCGTCCCAGTGTCCAACCACCTTAAAGGTGAAAGCGTCCTTCCTTATGTTTAATCAGTGTCCCGGGCTCCGGCTGTTGTCCCTTGACTCTTGTCCCAGCCCTGTACTGGCAGAGAAGAGCCTTGCTCTGTCTTCTCTGCCCTCCCACGGGGCAGCTGCCAACCCCAGTAAGATCTCCCCTCACCACTTCTTCTTAAGGCTGACCAAACCCAGCCCTCTCCATCTCTCCTCATATGCCCACTAATTGTTCTGGTAGCCCTCAGCTGCCCTTGCTCCATTTTGCCAACGTCTGTCTCATAGTGGGGAGCCCAGAATTGGCCACGATGCTCCAGGCAGCATTGCAGGTGCTGAGCAGAGCGGGACGGCCACTGCCCCTGTGCCACTGGCCGAGCTGCTTCTGGTCCAGCCATGTGTCACACGCAGTTGTGCCCTTACCAGGAAAGCATGCTGCTGACTTGGGTCGAGCAGAGGGAGTAA